ACCCAGCACCTCGGGCCGTAGGTCGGGGGAGAACAGGGTTGCCACTCCAGCCGTACGAACTGTGAGGTGGCTAAAATAGACCCTGTCTCCCCACTCCAGCTGCCAGCTAGCTTCAGTGGCCGGATCCGTATGGGTCTCCTGCAGGAAGATCATAGAGTACCCCCCCTCCCGAAGGAAGGAGAGCACCTGGCTCCTGCGGAGACCCATCCTACAGCCCCGGGTGTTTAATGTTGCGAAGATGATCGGTGCCATAAGGAGGGCTGGGGGGGATCCTCGCCAGCAGAGACACCCACGGCCTCCGTCGGGCCGCGCAACAATCTGTGACCTACCCCGTGGGCGATTAAGGAGTCACGGAAGAGGCGGACCCATTGGTAAGCCGCGGCGGCCTGCCTCCCGGTCCTCTTACCCTCCCCCATGAGGGCCCTCGCGGCCCGGAGGATCTGATGAAAATCCCCCCATCGCTGGAGTGCAAGCTGTACCTTGTTGCGGGAGCCACGGACATCCTCAAGGAACTCCCGTAGCTCCCCTCTCACATATGGGGGAGTGGGGTTACCGATCTATGGCTTTCCCCCAGTGGGGCCCCTGTCACAGCCCCGTGGCCCATCGAGATGGGCAAGCAGGGGGCAGACCCTCGACGTGGCGTCCGATGGGCTGGCGCCACGTGGCCTGCCTCAGACCCTGACTCAATGGGGGCCGGCGGAGGGAAGATAGCAGCCCCTGGTGGGGCGGGACAGAGAAAAACAAAGGCCGCTCCTTGGGGGTCATCCTCTGGGATATGGAAGGAGACAGCCCCAGGGGCGGCAAAAGCATCACGGGAAGTGGAGGGGACAGGGACGGGGTCGATGTCAGGAGCAGGGCCAGAGTCAGGAATAGGGACAGGGGAAGGGGTGATAGTGGGATCGGGGGCCCCAGCAGCCAGGCCACTGGGTGGGGGGGGTGGCACCCTGCAAATAGGCTCAGGGATTTGCGGGGAGGGAGGGGGGCCTTCGGCGATGCCGGGTTCATGCTCCAAGGCAGATGGTAAGGCCACGGCATCCATAGGTGGAGAATCAACGATGGGTCCCCCACCCGGGAAGGAGGTCGGCTGCCCCGCAGCCACAAGGGAGTTCCCTGGCGACTCGGGTCCCGGCAGCGTGGCACTGGCCGTCACCTCAAGAGGCTCGGCGGCCGCTAGTGGGGTGCCATCTGCGGCCGGGTTGGTGGAAGAGTCCAGGGGCTCCTCGGAGGTGGGAGCGGAAGCAGTGGATAAGGGGACGGAACACGGGGAAAGGGGGGCCGAGGCGAGGTCGCTCAGATTGAGGTCCGCTGGCAGAGGGTCGTCCTCCCCCTGGGTAACTGGGGTCAGACCCAGGGCCTCGATCTCCTCATAAATGGAGGGGAGATCACCGTCCACCACCTCAGGGCCCTCCCTGCCAGCACCCGAAGCGACACTCACCTTGGTGCTTGCAGGGGTTTCAGATTGTAAGGGGGCAAGAGGGGCTCCATCAGGGGCTTCCATAGGAATGGACTCCGGAGGAGGGGCAGTGCTATTCTCCGGTGCTGCCACGGCATCCCCAGCCGGCACCATTGAATTGGAATCGGCAGGGGGCAAAGTGGAAGGCTCAGCATCGGTGCTCCCCTTCCTGGTCTTCCAGGAGGCTTCCACATCAGATGGGAGGAGCGGAGCTTGAGCCTTCCGCTTGTCCCGCTTCCCCTGTACTAAGGACCAGTCCTCCATGGCATCATCCGGGGGTTGGCTAACAGGGGTCGAGTCAGGGAGCAAGGGTGAAGGCTCAGGGACTCGGGGAGGCAATGGTGGGGCAGCATGTAGGAGGGAGGATTCTCCCTGGGGCATGCCCTCTTCTATGCCCGGCGGTATCCCTACCTCACCCTCCTCCACAGGCCCCGCCAGATCGCAGGCGGCAGAGGTGGGGCCCTCCCGCTCGTCTGGGCGCACTGGGGGAGATACCCCTTGGGCCCGAGCGGGAGCGTTGGTGGGCCAAAAAGGAGGAGGGGCAGCTTTGGGCGCCGGGCAGCCAGGGGCACCGGCAATGACGGGGCCGGCGCCCTGCCGGGGCTCGGGGGTCCCGGATGCCCCTCTGTGCTGGGCCAAGGGGCAGTCCCTCCGGACGTGTCCCATCGCCCAGCAGAGGTAGCACCAGGCCTCCCCTGTTGAATAATGCACCCGGTAGCGGGCCCCCTGGTAGGGGACCAAGAAGGACCCCTCGAGCGCCTCACCGTCACGCGCCACCGGCGGCAGTTGTAACTGTACCTGACGGCGGAACGAGAGAACATGACCGAGGGCGTGGTCTTTGCAGCCCAATGGGAGAGGGCTGACCACAGAGATCAGCATCCCCAGGGTAGAGAGGGCGGGTAACAGGGCGGCATTAGGAAGGAAGGGAGGGACAGAGGTCAGGACCAGTTGGGCGCCCAGGTCTTCTAGCAGCTCCAGGGGGACGAACATGCCTCCCACCGCCAGGCCCTTCTCCACCGCCTCCTGGGTTATGGCACTATAGTAAGATGCATGAGAGCTGGGTTCAGTTTCTAGCTGTGCCATAGTTTTTCTTAACAGGGGTGTTAATTAATGTATGTGAAGCTCTATGATTGATGTGGGCCTTAATGAGTACCTAGACAGAATGGGTATCAGGAACTTGGTCTACAAATAGATTATCTGAATTAAAATTGACAATGCAAACCTACCCCATCACGTATATGTGATGCTAGCAGGCATAATCTGGGTACCGGGGAGGCAGAAAGATGCTATGTGTGAGACTACAGGCATTCAATAATGTTGCTTTAACAGAATATAAACAAACAAAAAACTACACAAAGAAAGTTAAACTTACAAAGTCAAGCACTCAACAATTAGGAAATGGCAGTTTAATTTGCATGTGAAACATTAATTGGCCCCCTTTGTGCATATGAACTATGATACAACATTATGATCATATGCTATTTTTTCCACAGGTTTCCTGCCTTCTTGACTTTTTTGACTTCTATCTAATCTATCTAAACTGCATATAGGAAATGTTCCATCCCTACCACTAAGGAGGAATGTGACAGCCATTTAACACAGCTAGTAATACAATACAACAGGATACTCTCCTTTAAAAAATAAACAAAGTAAGTAAAATATAGCTTCTCCTACTGAAATTATAGGGGGAATTTGTGTAGGGAAAATGGAATGCTCCAAGTTGGAATTGGACATAACACTTAGGCCTTGTCTTCACTGGAAAAGGTTTTTTTCCCTACCACACGGTAACTAACACATGGCAAAATTTTAGTGTGGATAAGGCAGCTGTAGTTTTCAGACATGTTAGCAAACTAAGGTAAATACATGGTTAAATCAACTGTGACACACCTGTACCTCAAAATGGCACTCTGTAACCCCCATATTCATCATTCATATGTGGTTGTAATATTTTAAACAAAGCGTGCCATATAAGATATCATATGAAAGGTCATAATCAGTTGAAACCCATTGTTCTGTCCAAATATGTATATCATTAGTGTGTATAAAGTTATGAGATTTTGCGGTATGGTTGTTACTGAAATATGCTGTATGTTTGCTAGTGACATACAAAGGACCCCACCCAGGAGGGTGCTCCGCAAACATTAATCAGCAGGAGAGTTGTAATCAAGGGATTTACAATTCAATGACAGTTGCCCAACTCCACACAGTGGGCGTTTACTCAATCACTCTGACTCAGCAAAGTTCACTAGGACACATTGCAGCATGTTTTTGCCTTTCTCCTCCTATGCTGAAAACAACTGGAATGCCAAGAAGACAAAGATCATCTGAGGAGACTGGTCCAGGCTTAAGGGGAATCCTGTGTATTAAGAACGGTAACATCCAGTTGGATGAGAAAAATGCTGATCTAAATACTGTCAAATGAAATAAGGCTTAAGATTTAGATTGTTCGTTTATCTTTTATTTTCTTTGGTAACTATCTCTGATCTTCCATGCCTACCACTTATAACCACTTAAAATCTAGCTTTCTGTAGTTAATAGATCTGTTTTATACTTTACCTGAACCAGTGGTTTTTTTTTTTTTTTGGTTGAAGCGCTTGGGAAATCTCAGCTCAGTTACAAAGGCTTATGCATGTCCTCTCCACATTGAGGGGTGATGGGGGGCGCGGAAGCAGTGTGGGTAATAAATTTACAGTGGTCAGGCTTCTGACTAGGGCAAGATGGTACAGCTCTGGGGTCCTAGGCTGGAGAATTGGGGGGAACTGTCTGGAGCCTCTCTATTGTTAGTTCATGAGTGGCTGGGAGAAGCATTCATGTAACTCAGTTGGGAGTGTCCCTGCCTGTGGATGTCTGTGTAAGTGCAGTACCTGCCAGAGGTTTGCAGCTTGTCACAGCATCACAGGGTTAGAGGGAGCCCAGATTGGTGGGACAGAGGGCTCAGCAGTACCCCAGTTCCAGGTTGCACCCTGGGGACACCATCACATCAACACCTTTTCTCATCGTTTCCCTAGATCTTGCAACAAGTTCATGGGACAAGCGACTTGATTAAACATCTTATCAGAAAGACAATAGCCTCAGCAGCACAGTGGCCCGAACACCACGCTGGCATTGGAGAATTAGTAAATGTTTGCTTCACCAGGAGTGGTACTAACTGCTGAGTCACTGATGCCACTTTCCTGGGAAGCCTCCCATCTAAATAATGTCCAAGCATAACCCTGTCTAGCGTAGAGCTGACAACACCACAGCCCAAGGTACTGAAGGATGGCTGTAGGGGAAATATTTTCTTAGTGCATTCACATAACTGTCATTAGCTTTTATTACAATTACTCATAAATATCAAGGGATATATTAACCCCTTAGATAGGGGTATATCTCAAAGCACATTGTAACAATCTTAAGATATGTAGGTCAGATTTCAAAACTTTTTTTCTAAATTTAAGGTGTTATACACTTGAAAATATTTTGGCATCAACTTATTAAAGGACGTTCAAAAATACAAATAAAAATTGTTAGAAAGTGTTACTGCCGAAAAGTAAATAAACAACTATTTCTCTTTTTTTTTAATCTTCTAATTAAATTTTAAATTATTTTTATTTTTTCCAAAAATAAAATTACAATGTGCTCTAAAGTCTGCCTAACAAATTACTGGATTGTGTTTTACAGATCTAGCAGTATACTTTTGTTAAAGGTATTTATTTAGCCAGTTGAGCATGTCCTTTCTTGCTTCTTCAATGTAAGGTTTATCTTGAGGGTTCATATCTTCTCTCTTGCGATGTACAAAACCATGAGTTTGTCCAGGGTAAATTTTAACTTTGTAATCAACTTTACAGTGTTGTTTTAGTTTCTGCTCCAGTAGGGTGACCTGTAACAGAACATCCTTCCATTAGTGACATTGATTTAACCTGTTATTTTTACCAATTTTCAGCTTGCCCATTATTTAGTTTCCTGAAAGATGTGATGTATCCTCATCTCAGTGCCTTCTTTAGTAATATCACACTTGGGCCAGACTAGATTTGTTACCCCAATTGTATTTTTATAGGCTCTTTTCTTCTAGTAAGAGGAGAAACCATCATTGAACTATGACTGTACAAAATTACACAAAATGTATAGGTAAGTGGAATAGCATCTTTAAAGGTCTCTGCAAAGATAAAAACACTTGTTTCCTGATGTGGGGCTTACTACCATGAGTAGTCCAGTTGGAAGCAAGCACTACAGAAAGTAGTAAGTAGTGGAGACTGGACCGAGAAATGGGACAAAACTAGAATCGCTTTGAATTTGTGTTTGGGCGGATGGCAGTTGCACAGATTCAAAGCTTGTGATTCTAACCTGCTCCTATGATTTTTAATGGAAAAAAACAAGAGTGGATGCAAGCCTGCAACGTGCCTTCCTTTCGGCTCCTGCGGAGGCTACTCAGCTCCCTCCTACTATGATTCTATACACTTTAAAAAAAACCCAAAATCTATATTTTGATCTGGAAAATATTGAGCACTGAGCCTATATAAGTGTTCTGGTTCAGACCGATCTGAAATGTTACAAGAAAAGCTTGCAGTATTTTAGTGTTGTTGAACCAGAGCCTGAGCCAAGCTTAAGCCTTGAACTTTAGCCTACATGGAATCCAGATCTGTCTAGTTTAGGGTGACCAGATGTCCTGATGTTATAAGGACAGTCCTGATTTTCGGGTCTCTCTCTTATATAGGCTCCTATTACCCCTCACCCCCGTCCCGATTTTTCACACTTCTTGTCTGGCCATCCTAGTCTAGTTACTAACAATGCCTTTAGATGATGAACAGGGTGGGGCTGGTAGCCGTGGGTAGGAGGACCTGGGCCCACCCTACTCTACTGGGTCCCAGCCCAGAGCCCTAACAGTGGTGGAGGGTTCTGCCACTGGGTCAATGGGATCCAACTGAAACATGCTTACTCATGCTCCAGCGACAAAAACGGACTAAAGTCTAGTTTCTCTGGGCTACTTCCTACCCCAGCCCAGCTGCAGGGCTCTGTAGTTCAAGGGTATTCCATCATCTTGGGATACAGGGCTGACAGCAGTCCTGGAAACTCCTATCAGGGGTTGGTCTCCTCTGGGGGTAGGGTGCGCACAGTGTTGATTCAGCTCTGGAGTTCTGCAGCTAGTTGGAAACATCTGCCTCCTTCCATGGCTCCAGCCGAACTGAGCTGCAGGGCCCTCCTTCTATGCTTCCTGCCACTCCCCTCTGCTTCAGGTACAAGGGGGTGGGGTTGGCCCAGCTTTGCCCGCCAAGGGGAGTGTAGTGGTCCCTGGAGCTCAGGCTCGGAGGGAGGCCACTCTGCCTGGCTACAGGGTTCATAATCAGCCCCTCTAGTTTCTCTCAGCTTTGTCAATGAAACTACAGTAGTTAGTTTTCCCTTCCAGGGAAAACTGCAAAATTGCCAGAAATGTCTTCCCTGAAGGGAAGGAGCTCCAGCAGGAGGGAATGACTCGGAGGGGAATAGGGAATAAAAACTAAGAAGGGTACAGAGAGCTGGCTGCCCTGATGGAGGATGGATTTCCTTGAGGTAAACAGAGAACCTGGAGACCAGATCCTCAAGTGATATAAATCACTACAGCCTCATCAGAGCTATTCTGACTTACACTAGAGGAGGATCTGACCCCAGCTGTTTGCAGGGCTTTTTGCCCTCTGATTGGCGTTCATAGACTGTTTGAAAGCCTAGTGAAGAGGAGTGGCTCTCTTGGCCTTTGTGGATGGGTAGCCTAGGAATGGCTAGCAGGAAGAAGAGGGGAAGCCTAGGAATGAGCTGTCCCTCTGCAACTGTTGACCCCAGTTGCACCAATTCAGGGTGTTGACCTAATGTTGACTGTTTGCTCTGGCATTTTGATTAAGGAGGGTTTCGTCTCCTGAGCCTGCTGAATGCCTTCCTTTAGACTCCGTCTACGGCTACTCACCTCTCTCCTACCATGACCCCCTTATTTTATAAAATCTATATTTAGAGATGGGAAACATTGACAGTATGCCTTTAAATAATTTGTGAGAACAATAACAGGCGTTTTTATACCCTTTTTAAGAGGCAAGAAAGATACTAATTAATTTTCTAATTTCTCCGAACAAAATGTTATCTTATGAAATAAATGTTTAAAAAGCAGTGAGGATATAAATGTGTTTGAAGGTGAACTTACTTGTTCAAGAGGGATGTAATCATCATTTTCACCAAAAATGAAGAATGTGGGGTGGAGCAAACTGTATCTATCCTCAAAGTACTTTATTATTCCTAGAAAAATTAAATACATTTAAAATGTTTATAGTGAGCAATTTAAAATGGTTAACACTAAATCAAAACATGAAAGTTACAGATGGAGACACGGGATCTGAACTTCCTCTCTTCCAAAGCTGAAGTGAGGCTCCAGATCCAGTGTCTTAGGCCAGCTCTATAACTGGTCTACCTGGACCTGCACTGGCAAAAAAAACATACACGTATTTCCCCATCAGTGCAGTTCCACAAGTAACAACAATGGACAAGTCTGTGTTGTAGACAAGCATTTTTACCACCGTGTTGTCTAACCTTGGGTTGGATGGCTAACCTACAACTTCCATCATTGATACCCCTGCTGGAGCTGTACTGGTGGGGAATTACTCACCTGACTTTTGCCAGGGTAGACATACACTGCAACCCTGAACCCAAAGATCTGTGGGAATATCTGATTCAGGTCCTGTTCAAAATCCATACTTCATGGCTTGGGTCAATCTTTTGTGAAAATTGTATGTATTACATTAAGCCTTGAGTGCGTGCCTGGCATTTTGCCTCACTGAAAAAGCCTACAGATCTAGTGTTGACACAGACCAAATGGTTGAGACACAGTTGTGCTGAATGTGATGTGCCTTTATCATCAGTTAGAAATGGTATAAGAATGAGCATGCTGTAGCAGACTATACAAAGTTGATTTTACGTTTTTTTCTGTTATGAAAGCTTCATAGATCTAGGGCTACAAAGATGCATATAAGCATTCATAATTATATATACACATGTATGATTTCAATTTAAATATATTCAGAAATATTAATGCAAATCACTAGGCAATCTATATTGTATTTGTATTTTACTATTTATTTACATTTAAAGAATAATAAAAAATCCACAGAAAAAGCTCTACATGCTCTGACAATTAATTAGACATATATTCACAAGTGATGACCACAGAGCAACAAAAATAATCATATGGAAATAATTAATTAACTTGGCAGACCAGGAAATCAAAGCAGCAAAATGACCTTTTAAGGCCCCCAGGAAGTTGTCCCAACTTTCCCCATAATCCACAGCACATAAATTAAATTGCTGTGGATTATATACAGCAATAGTTAAACTACATGCTATATTTATGTATGTGAGCTCAGGTTTACATGCATTTTAAACTTACCATATATGGCCACCCCAGTTTTTAATTCAGGATTTTTCAGCATCAAGTGATGTACAGCCATTCCACCCCAGCAAAATCCAATGACACCGATCTTCTTTGCATTGCATTGCTCCTTTAGATACTTCAAGACAACATCAGCTTCCCTAACACACGTAAAGAAAGGTGAATTAAGGAATCTAATAGCACTCCCTGGAAAACTGGAAAGAAAATACAATTGGTTTATAAAATAGTCATTCTAGTTTTGTTTAGGTTTTTAGTATGTTCTTGGAACACAACAACTCCAGAATTTAAACTGCAGTTTTGAAACATGAGTTGGCAACTATATGAAATACATGAATATTTAATGGAATTAGTTCATCCTAGAGAATAAAACAGCATAATGCACGAATAACATACTGAATGTGTAATGAGGTGCAATCAGAACAATCTTTTACTTTACATGTATTAGGGGTTAGAATTTTAATTGATTCTATATATACAAGTACAGTTGGACAAAGGACCAGATTTCTTATCTTATCAATTAACATTAATAAAATTTAAGTGAAGCCCATTCAAGAGAACATCATTTATGATCACATTATTAAAAATGATCGCTTGAACTGTTTCAAGGGAAGTAAACATTGCATGAAGTCAATACATTTTGAAAATGCTGAATGAAATTCAGCAGTGAAGTAATAGGTGTAAATGGTGAAGTGTAGTTAGGTGTAAAGGGTAAAAAACAAGTTTAAGTGACTAGTAGAGTGGCAGAGGAGTGTAACTTACGCTGATCTGGGACTTCATGGGTGTGCAATACAAATGTAAGTTACACCAGCTTAGTAGTCTTTGGTGACCCTAGGAAGCATGGGGGCAGTGTGACCTAAGTTAAAGTAAGAGAAACCTGCTTTATCTTGCTGCCTTTTGATAGGGTTCCCCGCCTCCTTTCCTTCGATGGCTCCATCTCCACTCCTGACATATATAAATTATAGCTGTTTTGCACACCTGCTAAATGTCACTACTTTGCCATTGACTCCACCATTTACATAACTACTAATTTGACCCACAGATTTCCATGGGATTTGTGCTTTCTTACTCCAAGCTGCATCTGGTCCATCATGTTTTAGGACTTGATCCTGGAGTCCTTACTAGGGCAAATCTATCAATGAGAGCTATGTACACATGCAGTCTACTAAGAAGTGGGTTGTAGCCCACGAAAGCTTATGCTCTAATAAATTTGTTAGTCTCTAAGGTGCCACAAGTACTCCTGTTCTTTTTGCGGATACAGACTAACACGGCTGCTACTCTGAAGTCTACTAAATATACATCTTACCTGTCTATCTTGCTGGCATCTCGAGTTTTCAGCCAGTCATTAAAGGTGGACCAGTCATCAGAAGGTTCCCAAGGTTTTTGTCCCACAAAGAAGTCTGGGCAGATGGCTCTATATGAAAAAGTAAAAATTTTAGGTCCATAGAATAGCAATAAGGAATAATTATGGGACAGTCTGTGTATTTTAATGTGCATTCATTCCATGATGATCACACACAATTATTATACAAATTTGTTCCTATTACTTGTCTAAATCTAATAAAATGATTTGAGAGAACTTCCAGAGCATGGCAGTTTACTTTGACCTATTAGACTTTGTTAATTAAGGAATCTGATGAGCTATCAACTGTTATTAAAATACCCTAAGAACTGATTATCAGTTTTGCAGATATTCTACAATTCCCAAGAATATAAATTTGAGCTTGAAGTAATGTTAACCTAATATTGTGGGAATGAGTCAATGTTTTTATTATATTTCTGAATACAGTACTCTTATAGGGCCTGAGTCAGCACTTCATACTCAGGCAAAATTCCATTTTTCTTCACTAGGACTTTTGCCATTATAAGTAATGCTAATTAGGACCAACAAGTACAAGGCTGTTTAAAAGACACTACAGATATTTTAAATAATATCTCAGAAACTTGAAAAATCAGATGTTTGTTTTTGCTTTCCTTCTTTCCTTCTTTATGCATCTACACACTGGCTAATTATTGTAAGTAGGGCTGTCAGGCGATTAAAAAATTAATCGCGATTAATCGCACTGCTAAACAATAATATAATACCATTTATTTAAATAGTTTTGGATATTTTCTACATTTTCAAATATATGATTTCAATTACAACACAGAATCCAAAGTAGACAGTGCTCACTTTATATTTATTTTTATTATAAATATTTGCACTGTAAAAAACAAAAGAAATAGTATTTTTCAATTCACCTAATACAGGTACTATAGTGCAATCTCTTTATCATGAAAGTTGAACTTACAAGTGTAGAATTATTTACAAAAATAACTGCATTCACATGGCACTGTTGTAGCTGGTGTTACAAGATACTTATGTGCCAGATGCACTAAAGAGTCATATCTCTTCATGCTTCAACCACCGTTCCAGAGGACATGCATCCATGCTGATAACGGGTTCTGCTCGATAACCATCCAGAGCAGTGTGGACTGATGCATGTTCATTTTCATCATCTGAGTCAGATGCCATCAGCAGAAAGGTTGATTTTCTTTTTTGGTGGTTCGGGTTCTGTAGTTTCCACATCAGAGTGATGCTCTTTTAAGACTTCTGAAAGTATGCTCTACATTTTATCCCTCTCAGATTTTGGAAGGCACTTCAGGCTCTAAAACCTTGGGTCGAGTGATGTAGCTATCTTTAAAAATCTCGCATTGGTACCTTTTTTGTGTTTTGTCAAATCTGCAATGAAAGTATTCTTAAAACAAACAACATGTGCTGGGTCATCATCCGAGACTGCTATAACATGAAATATATGGCAGAATGCTGGTAAAACAGAGTAGAAGACATACAATTCTCCCCCAAAGGAGTTTAGTCACAAATGTATTTAATGCATTATTTTTTTAACGAGCGTCATCAGCATGGAACTATGTCCTCTGGAATGGTGGCCGAAGCATGAAGGAGCATATGAATGTTTAGCATATCTGGCATGTAAATACCTTGCAATGCTGGCTACAAAAGTGCCATGCAAATACCTGTTCTCACTTTCAGGTGACATTGTAAATAAGCTGGCAGCATTATCTCTGGTAAATATAAACAAACTTGTTTGTCTTAACGATTGGCTGAATAAGAAGTAGGACTGAGTGGACTTGTAGGCTCTAAAGTTTTACATTGTTTTGTTTTTGAATGCAGTTATATAACAAACAAAAAAATCTAATTTGTAAGTTGCATTTACATGATAAAGAGCGGTGGTGGGCAACCTGCAGCCCGCGGGCCACATGCAGCCTGTCAGGGTAATCCGCTGGTGGGCTGCCAGACAGTTTGCTTACATTTGCATGGCCGCCCGCAGCTCCCAGTGGCTGCGGTTCACCCTTTCCGGCCAATGGGAGCCACAGGAAGCGGCGGCCGGCACGTCCCTGCAGCCTGCACCACTTCCCGTAGCACCCATTGGCCAGGAATGGCGAACCGCAGCCACTGGGAGCTCCAGGCGGCTGTGCAAATGTAAACTAACTGTCTGGCGGCCCACCAGCGGATCACCCTGACAGGCCGCAGGTTGCCCACCACTGATAAAGAGATTGCACTACAGTACTTGTACGAGGTGAACTGAAAAATACTATTTCTTTTGTTTGCCATTTTTACAGTGCAAATATTTGTAGTAAAAATAATATAAAGTGAGCACTGTAAATTTTGTATACTGTGTTGTAATTGAAATCAATATATTTAAAACTGTAGAAAAACATCAAACGTAATATATTTCAATTGGTATTCTGTTTAACAGTGCGATTAAAACTGCGATTAATCGCAATTAATTTATTTAATTGCCATTAATTTTTTTTAGTTCATCACGTGAGATAACTGCAATTAATCGACAGCCCTAATTGTAAGGTTACTCACTAGTGATCAGCTACTTGCACTGTTTTAAAATTATGACATATGTCTTTAGAAAAAACACATGCTAGCAAAGTCTTTGAAATTCTTCATATGTGTGTGGTTTTAAAAAAAAGTCGATAACATTTTTGGCCTAGCAACTTTGACAATGTCTCTTTAGGAAGAAAGCATTAAGATTGCTTACATGTATCCATTAGCTGCAAGCATATCAGCCATGTATCTGGTATTTGGAAGTTGCCATCCAAATATATCTTGAATCACAATCACAGCTTTTTCCGTGCTGGTGGATGGTTTGCAAATATACGCCTTGATGTGCTCAACTTGTACTTCACGCCCAAGGCCCCCATACTCAAACCTGTCTCCAATGTCACATGGGCAAGGTCTTGCTTCATTGGCCATCTGAGATACAAACATGAAAAGGACTAAAGATATTAAACTATTAATATTTAAGTACACACACAGAAAATGTCCGAATGCAATGTGGTAATGGCACCGTAAAATATGGAATCTATTAATAACCTTAGACATATCATTGATTTTAGGCATGAACTTCTAATACTTGTCAAACAGCAGAGTTTTTGCTGTATTTCACAGAGAGCTTTAATTTGGTTACTTAGCATATATGCCCTTGGGGGCAGGGAATCAGCTTTTAGATTTGTGTGTGCACAGCACCTAGGTTAATGGAGTCCTGGTCCATGACTAGGGTTCCTAGGTGCTTGTTAATACAAATAATAAAACAATGAAAAAAATTAAAAGTAATATCGCCCTAGATAAGATCATCACAAACTGCTGTTGTGATGAAGTACTGTTTTTTCCTTCTTTTCTGTGATGTACCCAGTAACTCATAGTATAGATTAGTCTAGTAGTTTTAAAGTTTTGATATGTGACACAGTGCTTTGGAAGTGAATAATCTTTTATGAACAAGTAAATATACATACATAGTTTTGATTAAACGTAAGACATTTTTATGGCAAGACTTAAAGCTATCTAAAACATTCTGTAATGGGCCCTTTCAGTTTAAAGAAGTTACACTGCTAAAGCAACTTCAACCCCAGGTGTTACAGGTACTTTGAAGAAAGGTGTTTATTTTATATTGATCACATTCCATATAAGAACATACCTAACAAATATTTCACAAACTTTTTACGTATTATAGAAGTGATACATTCTGCCGGTATGGTAAAAAGCTTGTGTGAAGTGAAAATCTTTAAGGTGAACAAAAATGTTATAAGAATGAAGTGACCACAAGGCCTGGTTAACTGCTAATTAGCTATTATACAGAGAGAGGTCAGCATATACAAGTGACTCAAACAGAATAAAGAGAACAGAGCTGATACAGAGGTTTATACAGCTGTTTTGTCTTACTATTTCATTAAGTTAATGGCTACATTCTACTAGTGTCTGACCAACCAAATGAATCAAATGACTTTATATTGCTGCAGAATGTTTCAAGTGATCCATATAAATCACTGCATTGTGGAGTGAATAGTTTACAAACTATTAAACAATGTGGAGAGATTTTACATAAAATTCAGTATGAACTTTAAAATGGACATGTTGCAAAGGCATAAGAGCACTGACAAAGAACATACAGCCTGGTACATAAAAGTAGATGTGTAAAGTTGACTACACTAAGTATGCTCATGGAAACCATCCTGTGGAAGCAGGTTGCTGACCAGGCCCTGGTATAGGATGGTCTAAATAGTTTTTTGTCCTCAGTTTTGCATTTGGACAGACAAGTCTGCATACCCATATGACCAGATGATTTACACAAATTGGTATGACCCAAGAGGTTTTGTACCTATGGACTTCAAATTCCAGTAACACAAACCACAAGCAGTGAACAGTTCCAAGAGCAAAAAACACAGCATTTGTTCTGTCTTTGGATGGTGAGAAGGCACAGGACTTGTACTCTGATAGACCACTTCAAAACTTAGTAAGAAGTATCAGCTGTATGTTGTTTGATTCACATCAGCTTTTCAAATGGAGAAATTCATTGGATTAACTCAACTCTTAATCAGAAACATGCCCTTATGCTCACGGCAGGGGGGGTATGGGTAGGGAGAGTGCAGAGGCCCCGCCTTTGCTCCGCCCTGCCCCAATTCCACCACCTGCCCCAAGGCCCCCCCCGCCTCTTCTCTGCACCCTTCCCCGAGCACGCTGTGACCCCACTCCTTCCCCTCCCTCCCGGAGCGCCGGCAAACAGCAGTTCAGCGGTAGGCGAAGCACTGGGAGGGAGGGGGAGAAGTGGGAACGCGGCACGCTGGGGGAGGAGGCAGAGAAGAGGTGGCAGAGGGAGGAGCTTGGCTGCCACTGGGTGCGAGACACAGGCGGGGGGCGGAGAAGAGCTGGCGGGGCCTTGGACTGCAGCCCAAGCAGAGCAGACCGGGCTGGGGCCCCTTTGGAGCCTGGGCCTGGCGCCATGGCACCAATGATGCCATTGTAAACCCGGTACTGCCCTTCTGCCTGTCAGAGTTGGCAGCAACAAGGATCAGGTTCAGTATCTAGGGGTTCCTTTTCAATAACACAATGCAAAACCGGTTTGAGCCCCTGCCCAGTGACCTGGGACAATTACGTACCACCCCCTGGGTGCCTCTAAGAGGCAATACTTCCCCTCTAACAAGCACAGAGTCTGAGTGTAGCAAAAGCCTTTTAATAAATGAGGGAAACAATGTGGCATTATGTTGGAGAAACACCAGAAACAGGATTCATAACACAAACCGTGAGCAAAAGATCCACCTCAAGTAAGTTGGGCAGTGTCCTTTTCCCCTCAGGGTCTTAAGTCCAGCAACCCAAAAGTCACCCAACTCACAGATGCTGTCCTTGGTCAGTGCAGCCCCAGAGTTCAGAAGTTCATCTGCAGAGTTCACCTCCCAGCATGGGTGGAAGGGAGGGAGGTATGGAGGCACCTTACACTCTCTGCTACTTGGGCCCTCGACAGCCGATTGCCATGCCTCTCTGTGGGGTTCTGCTCCAGTCCTCTCCACTAGCCGTGCCTCTCCACCAGCCAGCCGTGCCTCTCCGCTAGCAGTCCCACTAGCCATGCCTCTCTACCAGCCAGCCACACCTCTCCTCTAGCCACTCACCAATATGTCTTCAGCCCCCCCCAACCAACCAACACAGCTCTCAGTGATTTCATCTCTTAGTAGGGGAGCCTCATGGCTAATGCACCTGGATAGCCTTCTTACTTCAGAACCACTAGCTCAGAGTAGGTTTAATGCGTAAACCTAGGTATCCGTGATTTCAGCTCCGCAGCATGTAACAAAACTCTTACTTGAATCTAAATTAGCTGTTATTACACAGTGGAGAGAGGAAGGGTCAAAGTGGTGTTTAGGGCCCTCAGACAGGCACCCATATTAAACACCACAACACTACTACTCCTCAACTCACTGGGCTGTGGAACCCATGTCCTCTGCCTAGCAAGTGTTGCTTAGTTGAGGGTGAGTCCCTCAGTCATAAAATGCCAAGTATAGTTCTACTGTCCTTGATTCACATAACCAGGATAACAACCCTTTATTACTCCTGCCCCAATAACAAAGAGACTGGGGATCCCACAGCAGCCAAAGTGATCATTTGGGCAAGCACTCTCCTCATGCTAGGCAGGATGGGTGTGCCCATGAAAAAGAGCTCAACCCCTGAAGTCCTTTTCCACAGCTCAACACCAGGGTTTTAACAAATGTCTTAGTGACACGTCAAAAACACCTTTTAGCCTAGGGAAAGTATATCCTAAGTGTGACAGGAGACCAACATGCTAAATCACACACCCCTACCACCCCTACATCTATCTACATCCGGGGGGGGGGGGGGGAAGGAGGGTTACAGAATGAGGTTGTGAGGACTGAAATCAATTCAGGATTTCTTTGGTTTGTTTGGCCTGAATCACTGAAAAAGTTGCCCATGTTCCATAGTGTTTTCTGAAATACAACTTACTCCACATACAATGTATTAGATGTATATAAAGCAACTCAAAGTGAAAAGAAATTAGAGCAAAGCCTACACAAAACTTTTTTTTCATCTGAAATATCTCAATCTCCATTTCATTTCCCTGTATCATGGTGTTGCAGCCCTCTGAGTTTGTTTTTAAAACAGTAAATCATATGTACTTTGGAACTTTTCCCTCCACCTAAAATTGTAGATTAAATACTAACCTTTGGTGTCTTGTGCTTGGCTGAGCAGTTGATTCAGTTCTGTTGCTGTTTAAAAATACAGCAATTCTTTTCTTTGAGGGTAATTTATTTAAAGCTGTCCAACTTCAGGAAGACAGAACGAGGCTGTTCAGGAAGACTGAACAAGTCCTGTCAAGTTGTTTCACATTTGTCCTGACCCTGAACTTGTATTGCCAGATCTTAGTTAATGAATCACAATTTTATCTGCAAGACTTAACCGGGTGTGTATTCAGTTATTTTACCATTTCATTTTAAACAAAGGCTGTGCTGGTTCTAGGTTTATTTTTTGGCTTAGTCACAAGATTGACATGTTTTGTAATACAGGGAAATTTACTCCATTGATGACATCTATGAAATCCAAATTGGCCAGAAGAGTACAGGTCAAACCAGTCTAATCTCTCAGGTTTGTATTCAGCAAAGAATCTAAGCATGTGCTTAAATTAAGAATTGGTGATTTAAGCACATGTTTAAATAAATACTTTGCTGAATTGGGGCCACAATGCACAGTTAATTGTAATGGACCAAAAATGTGAAGAGGATAAATCTCAAGGAACTTGGAGAACTTTTCCTAGCACATTATAACAATATTAAGCGAAGTTCAATCTGAGAATCATTTAAAAGAATTCAACTTGAAATCATGTGTTAATAACTACAAAAGAAAAGTACAATTCATTTTAGTGTCAAAAAGTCTCTGCAATGTTCTTTGTCAGACTTCTATTAATATGGCCTTTGTGTTTTCCCTAAAATATAATTTATCAAATATTTATCCCTAAAATAATTATAGAAAATACTTTCCCCCTAAAAATATAATTTAATCAAAAGATTATCACAGTATACTAAGTGTTTTGTTTTGCAGGCCTGGCTGTATGCTTCTGTTAAATATATTTATTTAGCCAGCTGATCATGTCCTTTCTTGCTTCCTCAATGTAAGGTTTATCTTGAGGATTAATATCTTCTCTCCTGCGATGTACAAAACCATGAGTTTGCCCAGGGTAAGTTTTAACTCTGTAATCAACTTTACAGTGTTGTTTCAGCTTCTGCTCCAGTAAGGTGACCTGTAACACAGAACATTCTTCTGTAAGTGATATTGATTTAACCTAGTGTATCTTGCCAGTTCTCATCTTGCATAATATTTGACTCATTGAAAGACACGATGTATCCTCACCCTGATGCCTTCTCTACTAATCTCACAATCAGGCCAACCTCTTTATACAGGTTCTTTTAACTAGAGGAGAAACTATCTTTGAAATAGGACTCTATAAAATTATACTGTGACACTGACAGATCAGCCAACCTGTGTATGTCCAATAACAACTTAGCAGGCAACATTACAATTGTAATCAAGACAATTTACTTATATGTGAACTTCAAAGAGCTGTACTAATCATTAACCCATTCATTTGTAGTTATAGAAATCAAGGGTAGATGCTAAGTGTATTTGTCTGTGTTTACTAATATCCTTTTAAAAGTTTAACAATGTAACCAAATTAGCTAATTTCCTTTCATGTCTTAATTGCCTGACATTATGCATGCAAATGGTTCAGTTAACCTTAAGGTCAAAGTTGCAAGATACTGCAGGAAACTAATAATATTATCTACATTGTCTTCAACTTAATCTGTGTTATAATGAGTGACCGGCTGTTGTCCTATAGTGGAACTAAATTACCTGTGTATACATAGAAAATGGAAAATTAATTTAAAAGCAAATGTCAACAAACCATCTGCATTGCCTATTCTTCCTCGGGGGAAGGCCCTGCTGTGACAATTTCTGTGAGGAGGTTTGTCAACCTGCTAGTGAGCTATAAAAGAGAAGCCTTGGGCCTGATCCTGCCATCTCAGGTCTGCTTAAACATTAAGCAGGGAAGGTCTAAGTCATAGGACCAAGATCTCCAGGTAATTACCTGGATTATCCTGGAATTCTCATGGAAAAACTCTAACAGACTCTACACCTGAACTGCCTATTAGACTATAACCCTTTGAATTGATTCCAGAGAGACTTTTATAATCTAGCAGTTTGTTCCATCACTGCTAAAATCCTGAACTATGAATAGTGAAAATCACTTGTATGTATATTATCCTTTAACCAATCAATAACTTTCTTTCTTTTTATATTATTAAACGTTTAGTTTTTAGTTACTAAAGAATTGGCATCAGCGTGACTATTGGGTAAGATCTGAGACTCATACTGACCTAGGGCTAAGTGTCTGGTCCTTTGGGATTGATGAACCTCAAATATAGTGAATCAGGTTTTCAGTAATCTCTCACTATATTAGACTTGTTTGCCTAGACAGGAGCCAAGAGGTGGAATGCTTAAAGGTTTCGTTGGTTTCTTGTTAACCAGTGTGGTGCTACAGAAGCTCTTTTGTTACTGGCTTAGTGAATCTAAATATAGAATAAACCACCATTTGGGGGGATTGTCTGCCCTATTTCTTGCACTCTGCCTTGAGTGTGGCATTCTCAGTGCGGCCCATGCAGGCACGCAGTCATATATACAAAACATACTGCCAAGTCTAATAGCCTCTGAGCGGTTAATGCAAAGATCACATATTGTTATTGCTACATATCCCACCTGTAACAAATGTTTAAAGTTAAAGCTGCAGAAGCATTTTCATTCATGAAAATTGCAGAACTACTAAGTGTGGTATGTAACTGTAATGAGGTGGAGTGGCCTTATTCCCGCACCGAGGGGATTAATTCACCCCGTTGGACACAGCTAGCCCCCGCTCCTTCCCCCTTGCAGGAAGTGCAAGGTCGGAACGGGAAGTATAAGGGCAGGGCCTGGCAGTTCAGTGGGGGTTAGATGAGGGAAGGAACAAGATGTCCTTTCCACAGAGCTCACAACCAGCTGCGGCAGGCAACGATGCTCGTAAGCCACCCTGGGGAAAAGGCAAGGAACCCAGAGCAGACACGCAGAGAGAGACATCCAGCATGCAGACAGGGAACCAGGCCCCAGAGACCATGGAGCAACTCAAGCAAACACCAGTGGGAAGCAGTCCAGGGAAAGGAGACACTGGGCCTGTTGTGTTGCCGGGAGATGAAACAGCGACCTCGCATTTCCCCACCAACAGGATCATCCATCACTTCAAGGACCCTGGGCTTGGACCCAGTGGAGCAGGGTGGGCCCAGGTCCTCCTACCCTGCTCCATACTTTGCGCTTGTTCAGTCGCTAACCCCTAGGCCAAGGGGCCTGAGCCATTGCCTGTTTATTGCTCAGCCCACACTCAAGAGGCCTGAACTATTGACTGTTTACTCCGCCCATGCCCAGAAGGCCTGAGCCCTTGGTTATTTATTGCCTTAGCTCTCAGCCAGGAGCCCAGAGCCACAGACTTCTTATTAGCCCAGCACCCATTCAGGAGCCAGAGCTAGCACATGCCCAGGGGCTCAGTCACGAACCAGGACGACTAATTGCCCCACTTGGCAGAAGCATCAAGTTCCCGCTGCCACCGAAGGGGGCGCCCCAGAGAAACCTTACAGTAACCTATCACTTAAATCAGCTCCTGTACTAGATGACTGGAAGATAACTAATGTGACACCAATTGTTTAAAAAAGGCTCATAGTCGATTCTGGCAATTACAGGCTGGTAAGCCTAACTTCAGTACCAGGCAAAGTGGTTGAAACTCTAGTAAAGAACAGAATTATCAGACACATAGATGAACACCATTTGCTGAGGAAAAGTCGACAAGGGATATCATACTTCACCAATCTATCAGAATTCTTTGACAAGGTCAACAAACATGTGGACAAGGGGGATTCAGTGGATACAGTGTACTTGGACTTTCAGAAAGCGTTTGACAAAGTCCCTCACCTGGCTCTTAAGCCAAGTAAGCAGTCATGTGATAAGAGGGAAGGTCCTCTCATGGATCAGTAACTAGTTAAAAGAGAGGAAACAAAGATTAGGAATAAATGGTCAGTTTTCAGAATTGAAAGAGATAAATACTGGTGTTCCCCAGGGATCTGTACTGGGACCAGTGCTGTTCAACATATTCATAAATGATCTGGAAAAAGGGGTAAACAGTGAGGTGGCAAAATTTACAGATGATACAAAATTACTCAAGATAGCAGTCAGCTTTGGACTTAACTAAGAGTTACAAGGGGGTCTCACAAAATTGGGTAACTGGGCCACAAAATGGCTGATGAAATTCAATGTTGATAAATCCAAAGTAATGCACATTGGAAAACATAATCCCAACTATACATACAAAATGATGGGCTCTAAATTAGCTGTTACCACTCAAGAAAGAGATATTGGAGTCATTTTGGATAGTTCCCCTGAACATTTTGGATGTTAGGAACCATTAGGAAAGGGATAGATAATATCATAATGCCATTATATAAATCAATGGTACGCCCACACCTTGAATACTGCAAGCCATTCTGGTCATCCCATCTCAAAAAAGATATATTAGAATTGGAAAAGGTACAGAGAAGGGCAACAAAAATGATTAAGGATATGGAACAACTTCTATATGAAGAAAGATTAAAAAGACTGGGACTTTTCAGCTTGGAAAAGAGACGCCTTAGGGAGGATATGATAGAGGCCTATAAAATCATGAATGGTGTGGAAAAAGTGAATAAGGACGTGGTATTTACTCCTTCATATAACACGAGAACCAAGGGTCACCCAATGAAATTAATAGGCAGCAGATTTAATACAACAAAAGGAAGGACTTCTTCATACAACACACAGTCAACCTATGGAACTCATTGCCAGGGGATGTTGTGAAGGCCAAAATTATAACGGGCTTCAAAAAAAGAATTAGATAAGTTCATGGAAGATACCATCAATGGCTATTAGCCAAGATGGTTAGGATGCAGCCCCATGCTCTGGGTGTCTCTAGCTTCTGACTTGCAGAAGCTCAGAATGGACGATAGGAGATGGATCACTGGATAATTGCCTGTTCTATTCATTCGCTCTGAAGCATCTGGCATTGGCTCCTATTGGAAGACAGGATACTGGGCTAGATGGACTATTGATCTGACCAAGTATGGCCACTGTTAGATCCTTATTCTAAAGGGTTCTCAACAGAAGTTTATAAAGACGGGCTGCAGTTTGGCACATCTGACAACTTGTGAGTGAACGATAATGAAAACTTTAGGCAAAAACATTGCAGCCAATTTTTAGTATGAAGCAAGTGCAGCTGAGATAGGGGAGAAATATTTGAGACTTTTTTTGAGTAGCTCAGCTGAAGGTGGTAGAAATGGGAAATTTGGCAGTGACTCAATCCCTAAGTCACCAATGCGAATGTCAGTAGTTCTATGAAAACCAGTTTTAATTTTGCTGAGTGAAGGCTTTTAGAAAATGTACTTTGTGCATGCACACTGGTTTGTATTATAGGATAAACTAAAACTCTATCAAATAACAGTATGAAGCTGGTGCATTTGCAATGACATTTGAAGACAAAACATTCTGTGCATGTGAGTAAGCCAGTAGAATATTTTCAAAGAAAGCTTTCTGAGTTCCAGACTGGCCAGCTTAAAATTAAAAAAACTTCAACTATTTCTCCAAAAGCACTCAAAGCTTCATATGCTGTTTCCCTTCTTGTAGCAAAAGCAAAGAAGCCATATACAACTGCACATGATCTGATTCTGCCTGCCACTGTAGCGCCTGTAGGAAATATGCTTGATAAAAAAGCAGCCAATACTCTTAAGAAAGTACCCTTATCAAATGACACTGTGTGTCACAGAATAGAAAACATGGCTGAGGATACTGTCTCTCAACTTGTAGAGAAACTTAAAATGGCAAAAGCATTTGCCCTTCAGCTTGATGAGTCCACGGATATTAGTGGAGAAGCTCAGTTGATTTCTTACGTTCGATACCCTGA